ATTCTCAACAATTCTATAGAGCTTCCTCTTACTCAACAACATTATAGAGCTACCTCATACATAACAACATTATAGAGATACCTCACAACAATTTTATAGAGCTACGTCATAATCAACAACTTTATAGAGCTACCTCATACTCAACAACTTTATAGAGCTACCTTATACTCAACAATTTGATAGAGCTACCTCACAACAACATTATAGAGCTACCTCATACTCAACAACTTTCTAGAGCTACCTCATACTCAACAACTTTATAGAGCTACCTCATACTCAACAATTTGATAGACCTACCTAATACTCAACAACTTTATAGAGCTACCTCATAATCAACAACTTAATAGAGCTACCTCATACTCAACAACTTTATAGAGCTACCTCATACTCAACAACATTATAGAGCTACCTCATACTCAACAACATTATAGAGCTACCTCATACTCAACAATTTTATAGAGGTACCTCATACTCAACAACATTATAGACCTACCTCATAAGTACTGGACACCACACTCAATGTCTTCATACAACTATCTCAGAGATGTTGTATCATAGACACTTAGCATGACACTTCATGTTCGTATAGCATGGAGCATCATCACCACGACACTTCATTACTTTATAAATCTACCTCTCATTCTTACTACAGTGTGTTACAAATGTCACAATGCACCCACCCATTCCTTATAAATGAATCTACTAAAACGGACAACATGGAAGGCTGTTTAGTCATATACAGCACTGAACAACCAAATATAGTGAGTGCAGTTATTTTAGCGATGATGAACCCTTTTTATGGATTTGGTAGCAATTTCCTTCACCCATCTACAAAGTTTAGATACTTAGCTTTAACCATTGAACTTGCACTTAATACATATATTTTTACTATTAGCGTTAACAAATAAAAGACATTCTGACCGATGAAGTTTATACATAATACAGATATTTTAACAATTGAGTTTCACTAAATAGATATTCTTACCACTGGGGTTTATAGTCTTACCACTGTGGTTTATAGTCATAATATAGATATTCTAGCCACTGTGGTTTAATTATAGTCATAATATAGATATTCTAGCCACTGTGGTTAATAGTTATAATATAGCTATTCTAGCCACTGTGGTTTATAGTCATAATATAGATATTCTAGCCACTGTGGTTAATAGTTATAATATAGATAATAGCTGTTCAAACCCTTCGGGTTTATACATATATATTACAGATATTTTAACTGTTGATGCATAGAAATAATAGATATCCTAACCATTGCGGTTTAAAAAACTATAGATATTTTACCCAATGGAGTTAACAGAAATGACAGATACTGTACCATTAGGGTTAAGGAGAGATGGTTTGACACCTATATACCCGTGTACTCACGGAGTTCAACTTTCTGTCTACATCACAATGACATTGCCTGCATGAGTCTATAGAATTGGTTTAATTGAAAAGTATAACACAGCCACGTAGTGACTTAATGGAGCGCAAGAGGACACAAGATTTCCAACATAATGGACAAAATGGAAGCTAACGATCGTAATGGACGCCCAAAGGTCGGTGAATGGTTCAACCTATTGACAAACAATCCAACACCTTTTTGACCCATCAACAAGGGAACAATGTAGGGAAGAGGGCTGGGGAGGCGATTGTTAAAACCAGAACACAATTGGACAGTATCAGCTGAATTTTGTACTGAACATTGCAACTGGAAACTTTCATAATGCTATCTGGAAAGTGTCTCATTTCCTAAAACATTCTGGCGACAGAAATTCTATGAATTCCTACATCACTTCAGGTCAAGGGACTTTAGTGAATGAAATGAAAAATATTAAAATCACCTCAAAGTGCTTTCCTTTGTTATCAGTAGCAATAAAGGACATGAATGAATTGTCCAGGAAATATTTTAATATTTCAAATTTGTACCCTGTCCAGTGACTGATAACTTTATCAACAACACCAACTGGCAAATGGACATCATACAGTGATCTTATTTACATAATACACAAATCTCTCCAGGGAACAAATTAACAAAATTCTCTGCTTCCACACCGCAATCTCGTTAAAAACTCATCTTTTTTCTGAGAAGTAAACAGAGGTTAGCAGATTTTTTTTTTTTGATAAAAGTACATCTATTCTGTTGTCGATTTAAAATTCTACAGTAAACAAATTGTGAAATCTATGAAAATGATGTGAAATGTAATGATACTGAAAGTTATGGATTGTTTCACCAACAATGACATAGACAGAGGAACTGAGATAGAATCACAAGCACACAAGAGTTGTTTCCCTTTATCAGAATTTTGAAATCCAAAATTTGTGTTAACGTTACATTCCTTAGCATACATAAACATGTTGTCACTATAACATGGAGATACTTTATGAATCATGGTTTGACACAGAATCATAGAAAGCTCACAGTATAAAAAAAAATGTGTTGGTTTTCCCACAGAAGTTACTTAAATAATGCAACTAGGATTGTCATTTAAGATGAACTCAGTCCCAGAATGTGTTTCCTTACCAGCATCTCCCTAGTAACAAGCTCTGCATGTTTCCTTACCAGCATCTCCCTAGTAACAAGCTCTGCATGTTTCCTTACCAGCATCTCCCTAGTAACAAGCTCTGCATGTTTCCTTACCAGCATCTCCCTAGTAACAAGCTCTGCATGTTTCCTTACCAGCATCTCCCTAGTAACAAGCTCTGCATGTTTCCTTACCAGCATCTCCCTAGTAACAAGCTCTGCATGTTTCCTTACCAGCATCTCCCTAGTAACAAGCTCTGCATGTTTCCTTACCAGCATCTCCCTAGTAACAAGCTCTGCATGTTTCCTTACCAGCATCTCCCTAGTAACAAGCTCTGCATGTTTCCTTACCAGCATCTCCCTAGTAACAAGCTCTGCATGTTTCCTTACCAGCATCTCCCTAGTAACAAGCTCTGCATGTTTCCTTACCAGCATCTCCCTAGTAACAAGCTCTGCATAATCAAACACTTCCATTAATATACCGGTTGTATCTTTTTCCGTTTTTCTTTTTGATTTGTGTTTATCTTATTTTTCTATCTTAATGTATAATAAAACTTTGTTTCTCTCCATATTTTTTCAGACATATGGAATATTTAGTGTATCTAAGTTATATACAAATATATTTTCTTGCAAACAACACATTTAAGTAGTTCTGATTTTTAAAATTTCCATTATATTTATCCATGTTTATCCATTATTCTTAGAACAAGTTCAACTTAAATTCCAATAAGTTCAAGGTCATCAACCTTTTCAAACAGGACCCAAGATAAACTCCATCAAACACAGTCAAGGTCATTTCCATCCGACAGGGTCAATGTCATCTCCATCATCCAGGGCCAAAGTCATCTCCATCAGCCAGGGTCAAAGTCATCTCCATCAGCCAGGGTCAAAGTCATCTCCATCAGCCAGGGTCAAGACCATTTCCATCAGACAGGGTCAAGGTCATCTCCATCAGACAGGGTCAAAGTCATCTCCATCAGCCAGGGTCAAAGTCATCTCCATCAGCCAGGGTCAAAGTCATCTCCATCAGCCAGGGTCAAAATCGCCATCAGTCAGGGTCAAGGTCGTTTCCATCAGACAGGATCAAGGTCATTTCCATCAGATAGGGTCAAAGTCACTCCTATAACACAGGGTCAAAGTCATCTCCATCAGACAGGGTCAAGGTCATCTCCATCAGACATGTGTATTGTCAGAGAGGGACAAGGTCAACTCCACACAAGACAATAGGGTTTCTATTAAACAGTCAAGGTCATCTCCATAAAACCATTTCAAGGAGTTTCCACTAGACAGGGTTAACGTTGTTTCTTCACATATTTTTAATGTTGTTTCCAAAGTCAAATTCATCAAACAAGATCAAGGTCATCTCAAACATATAGGCCTAGCTGTCAGTATCACATAACTTCAAGGTTATCTTCATAGACCTGTTTACTTTCTTCAGTTCCTGTGTTGTTTATATCCTCAGAATATTTAGTTTGTATGCAAGATGGACGACCCGATGGCCATAGTGCCTAGGCTGATGAGCAAAGCAAGAATGGGGGTTCTTTATGAATGATTGTTGGTATGATAATGCCAAGCCTACTGCCAAAAAAAAACACCATTCTTCCTAGCTATTAGTTCCAATCATGTTATATTAGCAAATCATTATCTTCAATAGTTTTTGTCAAATGCATATTTTTCATAATTGTTTTGTTTCAGTTAGATGTAATAGTTAGTTTCCAATACAGGAGCCGATAGAGCTCCTCTACACTGGACACAAAAATTAAACAAATGTATAATATAAAGTTAAAGCTCATAATTTATTACATTACAATGTTAATAAAAAATAATTCTGATGGGATTTGAAGTTGATGGTTCGTTGACAGTCAATTCTGCTGGCGTGTCCACTGTGGTGGCATCAGAAATCTGAGTAGTAAGTTGCAAAGTAGAGAACAGAAAAATTAACCTTCAATAATGGTTTAAAGCAACTCAACTCATTGGTGTAAGCCATTTTGAAAGATTGTTTCCTCCTTCAGGAGACGTCAGTATTGTGAGCACAAGCATCCTTTTTCTGGTTTGGCATTCCCGTCCTCTTTTCCCACTTATTCACTACTAATTGCTGATAACCTCCCAGTTTTCTCGGCGTGTTTGTATACCAGGGACTGCACATTGACATGCTGTCTGCGTCACTTTGAAAGATGAAAAGTCATTGTCCATGTCTTTGACACAGAATTGTTCTGATTTAAGAACGAATTTGTGGAAAGGAATAATTACTTGACCCCGAGGAAGTAAAGGCACTATATTCTGTAAAAATCAAAATACTGAAAATGTTATCGTCATCAGCGTCGGGTAAATCAGCCACAGGGAGTCCGATGTTACATGACACTTGTCAAAAGTATCTTGACATGTTAGAGTTCTAACATTGTTGGAGGTCAATTAACCAAGGTCTGTTATTTCGAAGTTATGGGTAGGGTCCAGTACAAAAATTAAAAGAAACAAAATATCAGGACCCGACATCAATTGTTTTATTGGTGTTTAAGCCTGTACATGATGGTGAGACATTCACTCTGCTATTAACAGCTATAGAATACCACGATAGGTACCATTACAACATAACAAAAAACATTGTATCATTTTACACATAACTGTTATATTTCGTAACCAACTTGCTTGCTACAACAATCATCTATGTGATTTTGGTCATTAGCCCTAGGCATGTACATATAGAAAATAAATGAGCCATTTGATGACAGTTGGATGATGTAGTAAAATGAGATGATTTATGTGTCCCTAATTTTCATGACTATAAACAGCATAATTAAACAGATCTACCATGACAGGAGGATGAAGTACTAAATGATGCCTAACAATAATTTAAGTCACCTTGTAATTCAACTGTATGACTGAAGAAACAGCTGTTCTTAAATCAACATTTATCACTTGTCCCAGCTACAGCATTTCACACATACTTGCTACTAAACTTTCTCCCTCTTATTTATTGCCTTTTCATATTCTTTATCAGTTCACTGTACTTTCTGTCACTCTTTACATTTATTTGCTCTCTGACGTACTTCAGAGCAAAACATGATTTCCAAATATACATTGTTTATATACATCAGCCAGAGCCTCCAATTTATTATAAATTGATGTTGAAACTCCTAAAACCTCAGAGTAAATTCACTCTGGAGAATCAGGGTCAGATCACTAACTGTGCCTTATTTTCAAAATCATTGAAATTGATGCAGCAACACACATATCGCATAGTAGGCAATATTTACAATGACATAGAAATCCCAGCTGCATGTTTTGTATAAATCTATTCTGTGTCAATTCCTCAACCAACACTTTTCACTTCTGGTCCACATTGCAGTCAATATTGCATTTACTAGGTGTCACTTTTGTGTGTAATCAGTCTCACTGTTGTGTTTAATCAGTGCCACTGTTGCGTTAGATCAGGGTCACAGTTGTGTCTAATCTGTGTCACTGTTGCGTTTAAACGGTGTCACTGATGCGTTTAATCAGTGTCACTGTCGCTCTCTTCACTGCCACTCTCACCCTCCAGAACGTCAATAGAGAACTTATATTCCTGATCACACCCCATGTAGGCATCGCTCATGAAGAAGATGGTGTAGTTGTATTTGCCCGGAGCGGGTGCCACAAAGTCTAGTTTCACTTTCGCTTTCTGCTGAAGAGTGAGCCTCTTGATGGATAACAAGGAATTATTCTTGCTGTCTCCGATAACTACCCACCAACCTTCCTCTCGTTTCTGTCAGGGAAATGGACAAAAGTTATAATAAACAACAAACAAACAAAAAACAAGCAAATTTATCTAGAAAAACTGTTTTCATCATTTTCATAGTTTCAACATAAGCCATGCAGATTTTTCTTTTTTAGCATTTTTCAACTTTAAATTTAAGCCATGCGATAGAAAATTTGTTTAAACATAAAAAAACTATTCAATTACCATGCATTTAATTTGAACAAAGAGGACCAAAAATTTCAAGCAAAAAACTAGATGTCAGTTTAAGCAAGCCAATGACTCTGTCATAAAATACCACCATGTTCCAAAATACTTATAGATGAAAATGGGGTTGTGAAAAACCCAAATGACTGAACATGTTCTGTACACCATCCACAGAAACGGTGTGATGACTGAGTTTTATTAGAGACAGAGTTCAGAGGCTCCTACAACCAACTACTTACCAGTGGAAAGAAGGGAGCTATCACCGGTCCCGTCAGTTCATCCTCTCTCTCCAGGGTAGCTACCACATTGACTGCAGAACCACTAAATAACACATACAGAAATATATAATTTAGTAGCCTTCTGGATATCTTTGCTTTCAAGATGCATCTTTCCTAAACAAATATCATGCATAATTTCATAGCACAGAAAATTATGAGATTCAATCAGTCCAGTACTTAATACACCATTACAGCAAAGTTGTTGTGACACTGAGAGTGAATTCCTATGAGAAATCCAAGTTCCTAATAAGCAAGTTTGCTTGTATATGTACACCATTACAAACATTTTCTATAAGTAGGTAATAATACAATATTAAAAGTCACAAAAATTAGTGTTTTCCTAGCGTAGTTTAAATTTCGGCAAATTATATCATGATTGTAATTTAGTTTTATCTGATGTGGTGGCGCATTTGATAAAAAATGTGCCAAAGTCATTAATATTCCATATGGTAATTACACAACTCAACGTGATTTGTTCTGTTACATAAAGATGTATAACAGGATTCATTTGATATCCACGATATCATTTTCCCAATATTACGTAACTGAAATGTAGATTATTTTTTGTAATACCTGATGCCTGAACATAACTGGTAATAGCCAGCTATACTGAACACAACAAGGCACACTTGGTACTTGTTAGGGCAGTAACTAACACCATGTGATGTAGGACAACACACATATGTCGTACCTGTGAATGCTGTCTTTCTCCACGACTTCGTAGGTGAGCTCTATGTTAGGGTAACGGTTACAGAAGCGGGCCACATCTGCCATCTGATCCTCTGTTAACTGCAGTAATGTATTTCTCTCCTCATCTTCCATCTCCATGACATCAAACACACTCTCTATGTTCTGTGGAAGAAGCAAAAATAACATCAGACACTTTTTCAGGGTTGTTTGAGAGAAACAGAAAAAGCTAGAACTGTATGCGCATAGGCTTACTAATTCCCCCACTCACAGAGAAAATGAAAACATATTATGATGTGTACAACTAATATAAGGTGATGAAAATAAGTCCAAAAATTGAAGTTGAAGGTAATCAGTATTTGTTCAGCTTTGACAAGTTCTAATTTCAAAAATGCTTCGAAGAAATATCCAGACCCATGGTTTTTTTTTACAAACAGACATGCAGTTAATTCCAGTACGCCATCTGAACTTTGTTCAGGGAGGGTTTAAAAAATCAAAAACACTTTCTACATTCTGTTTTAGGAAATAATCAATAATAGAATAACACTGATGAACAGTTAATAAATCAGATTAATTACAAGGGAGAATACGGGTACTTTGAGAATCTGATCTTGACCCTGGATCATCAAATCATCAAAGACAGGAAATTGTGAATTTTCAAATGATGATAAAACTGTGATGAAATGTGTTTTATATGTTTATGTTCTACTATTGAAAAAGGTTTAATCTGCTATCTTCCAAAATTGGGGAAAATGGGGCTCATTTTAAGTTCACTTAAAGGAACGTATAATTAACAGGACTAGATTGAATCCCTTTAACAGACTTTAGGGTTGGGTTGTGAACTGACCTTATCTGTACAGCGTTTGATGATATCCTGAGAGAAGTGTGGCAGTTGTTTCAGATACGAGTCTTTACTCCACATGGCCTGAGTGACCATCTGGGCCAACTCCATGGCGGCCAGGGCAGGGGTCAACCAGCCATTACTGGACAGCACGTCCACACAGGCCTGGATCAGTCGGATGGCCTAAATACACAAATAGAGGTCAAGAATCAGACAAAGGTCAGGGGTTACATATATCATAGGTCATGAATATATGTCCTTGGTTCAGTTATAGATCGTAAGTCACACACCAGTAATTAAAATCATTTCAACACAAGTGTGGATCAGTTTGATTGCCTGTATACAAATGATGGTCATAGGTCAAACAAAGGTCAGGGTTAAATTTTAGGTCAGAGGTCAAGTAGTCAACTACATCAACCCTTACTTGAAATCATATCAACACAGGAATTAATAGTCTGATGGCCTGTAAGACAACAAATATAGATCAGAGGTCATGTGTCATTCAGCCAATACTGAACGGCAACATCTCCCACAGTCTGATTCACTTAACAAATATAAGTTAGAGGTCATATGTCAGTCAGGCAATACTGAACAGCAACATCTTCCACTGTCTGATTGACTAATCAATATAGGTTAGAGGTCATATGTCAGTCAGCCAATACTGAACAGCAACATCTTCCACTGTCAGATTCACTAAACAAATATAAGTTAGAGGTCATATGTCAGTCACAGGGTTCTCCCCAGAATTTTTTTAAGCCGATATGTTTCATTTGCAACGAACATTCAAGACGGACACGCTAATATAATACCTTATAATACCTTATCAAACCTAAGGGGGGTGGGGGGTGTAATATGATGTTTAAAAAGTTACTTTTATTTACCAAACTTCTTTTGGTGAACATTAAAACCAAGGAAATAAATAAGTGTTTCTTATGTCTGAATTTTCAGCAATATATTCTGAAAAAAAA